ACTGGGTTGTTGTCCGGTTAAGAATTTGTTATACGGGTGGGTTACCCAGAGTAAAAATTTTATGCGGGCTTAATCTCTATATAAAGTTCATCGCTATTTATCTAATTTATGTTAAATAATATCTTTATTAATATGATTATCTGATATCTTCAAAAACTATATATACTGATCAAAATTGAAAAATTCGGCATATTGATCGGTAGAATTCAAGTGGCTAACTTGCTATTCAACACTATCATATGACTTTACAGACATGCATGTCCGTAAAGTCATATGATAGTGTTGAATGGCAAATTGGCCATTTGAATTCTATCAATTAACATTCTAAATTTTACAAGAAATTGCTTGATTACCTTTTATGATTCCATGAATCCACTGTATAAGTATGAAGAACTATTAAGAGATTAGAAAATCTAAATGTTATAAACAAGTTTTTTTTTTTTTTTTTAATTGAAATATTCAATGATCAAAAATCCAGTGATAAATCTATTATTTGAGTGTATCGCTTGTGTACTATATTTCTAATAATAAAACAGATTTTAATTATCTGTTGAGTTCTTGAAAAGGTACCTGAGGTAATATGAATCTATAATTTTTTTGAGTCGATCCATTACTTGAAAAATCCTTATTTGGAACAACCTTATGTACCTGTAGTAGATTCATTGCTTCTGGGGTAATTTGATTTGTTTGGGATACGGTGGCCTAATAAAATAGGTTAAATATAAAAAAAAAAAAAAAAAAGCAATACAGTAGAATTTTTTGCTAACAAAAAATCTTTTAGATACTAAAGGATCGTTTTGTTAACAAAAATTCTATATTCGAATTCTTACTGTTAGGAAAATTCTCCCGAATCTGCTACGAATTTACAAGTGACGGTACCGCATTGAAAAATACGATTATTCTCCTTAACTTCTGATTGCGACTAGCTAAAGTTAACTTCATATGAACTCTCATTATCCACAAATAGAACATAGCCAATAGTCTGTAATTTTGGATCTTGTCGAACGTTCCAATTGTCATAATTAATTAGCTGTTTTAATCTTTGTTCACCAGCCTCACCCTGAAAAAAACAAGAATACTTTCATTGCACAGGACTATAACGGAAAGAAGGTTCACTTTCAAAAAGAAAAACAAAAATATTTTCTGGAAAAGCATAAATAGAAACTTGTTTTGTGCTTATTGAATGTCTATTAAAGCCAAGACGTTTTTAAACAAGAACTATAAACGCATCTTGATAAAACATGATTTGCTCAAGGGATAGTTGAATAAGTAACTTGCGATGAGGTATAATCTTGTTATTTCGGTGCGTTATTCTTTCATGAATTACAACCTTTTTTCGAGAAGAAAGAATCTCCTGGCAAAGTTGACACTTACTCGCCATTGGAGTTCTCAACGTATTAGCTAATTCTTCAGCAGTTGCTCTGCTCTGAGATTCTGCGTTTGCATTTATTCATCAGATTCAAAAGTAATAAACTTCGCAAGCTAGATAACGATTATCATTTAAATTCTAGTGATATAATCGAAAGAAATCGTATGATTGGTTAATGTCATGTTTTGATTATCATATATGACAAAATCGGATTTATGTGACATATCAAATGGAAATAAATCTGCCCATATGCCAGAATCGCATAATAGTAAATGGTGCCTGTGATTGGCCAATTTTTAACCAATCGATCAGTTTTTTTATTTTCTGTCCTTTCCTTTTTGCCATTCTTTTTATGAGCGTGGAATTTTTTTATATAAACCATTCCGACATATTTCAAACAAGTTCTGAAAGAAATTGATTAATAATGACACAAAAAAATCACATAATTCTGGGAAGAAAAGCATTAGCCGCATAATTTAGTCCAATCGCATCGCATAATGCTAAGGTCCCTGGCTCATACAGGGTCGGATGCATCTGAACCCTAGTTGGATGGGTCGGAATTGATTAATTTTACCCAAGATCACTAAGAATTTTACTAATAAAACATTAAGTAAAAAATGCCTAGCTGATAATTTTAATATAGTTCCTGTTAACCTGTATAGCTAACCCAGACCCTAACTACGATATATTCTGGCCATTCCGACCCAGAAATTTAGGGATCCTCTTGTAAAAAATAGATAATAGATGGGTTGATATAACTAATTTATTAACACATTTTTATTTTTTCGAGCTTAAGTTTGGTCCGATTGGCCCGATGATCACGGAACCGTCATATTTTTGCGCCATCACTATGTTATCCAGAAATGTATATACATGCAAAATATGCATAAATACACATTTTTTTTCGGCTACATAAACTTTCAAGAAGCATATGAAATGTGAGTCTAGTCCTAATTTTGTACTCGAAACCGAACTTTAACAAAGGTTCGACTTTTGGATTTGAGTCGAACCGGACCGAACTTTTAATATCCCTACTAGCGACCTCAGTATAAAGAGGTTAATTATGCGATGCGATTAGGCCAAATTATGCGGCTAATGCTTTACGTTCCCAGAATTATGCGAGATTATTATAAATTATGTGATTTTTTTTCATACCACGTGATAAATTATTTACTATTATGCGATTTTTGGTCAAATTATGCCAAATTGGCCAATCAGAGAACACAAATTTCGGGTATTCCTGATAGAATCCGAACAAGAAGAGAAAAAGAAAGAAAACGAAATACTCAAAAACTAATGTTTAAACGACTTTTGTAGACTAATAAAAGAAATTTTATATATAAGAAACGTCCTGACCCTATTTTTATTTGATTCCTTTTTTGGATTGTGTTACCTGCGCAAATACTGAAATAAGCTAATCCCCACCCGCAAACAGTCCATGGACAGCAGAAATACGGAAATTGTGATTTAGTGTGATTAAACCAAATTGCACTAAATCGCATAATTTTATATCATATTTATATTCTCCGATTAAAAATAGCATATTAATTTATTCTCTGATTAAAAAATTGCATATTAATTTGCTAGTTGAGCGCAGTATTTTAAAAATTAAAGTTTTTTTACGAGTAAAATTTGCAAAAAACACTAAATCGCATTTTTAAATTTTAATCATTAGCAAATTGCATATATTACACATACCACACGCATAATTTACTAATACTTATCGCATAAATTCATAAACAATGTCCAACGAGGCCCCTAAAAAAGGTGGTATTAAACCGGACATTTTTTGGGCCACATGACACTAAATTCTGGTCAACCCAAAAATTTAAAATTTGATCAGAAATTAGTATCACGTGGCCCAAAAAACGTCCGGTTTAATAATACCACCTTTTTTTAGAATAATTTGGACATCATCCATGTCCATGTCCATTGACAACACTGCCCGCAGGTGCCCCGGGTGATGCCTACCCGGGTCGGAACTCATAGGAAGACAAAAAGGGGAAAATTGATTTTTCGAAGATCTTTTTTTTTTGTTATAAATTTTATAATAAATCATTACTTTTGTGTGTAAAAAATGATTCTAAGGCCATGCAAAATTAATTAATTGGTTTTCATAACCTGGCCGGGTCACAATTTGAGAAATTAAAAAAGACATTGCTGTAATGAATGCCGATACAAAAACTTATCGAATTTGGCCGAAACAATTTTTATCAGTTGTCCCAGAATTTGAGAACAGTTATAATAACCAGGTGGGTCTATTTAAAAATTTCATGTTATGAAAACCAAGTAATTAAATTTGTATAGCTTAATCTTATTTTAAATTAATTCATGTAAAAAAATTAATTTTAAAAATTTGTCAATTTCCCCTCTTTTTGCAGAACATAGCCCATATAATTGGTTAATTTTTGAAGATAACTCGTGATTTCCCATGATAATTAACCAACCAAATAATTAATTAATTAGAAACGAAACTTTGTGTAAAGAAGCATACAAACTAATAAATACACGCAAAAGAATTTATTATTAATATATAGAGAATAGATAGATACGTGTAAAGTGGGTAAATAAAATATTTATTACTAATAAACCCAAACTATTAATAAATTAAAACCAAACTATTAATTTACGATTGACAAGCCCAAACACACTACAAGAACCGACCAAATTTAAATATTAAGCCCGAATCATCTTGTTAAAGAGCTTGTGCATACTCAAATTAAACAGTTAGAAATAAAAGTTTATTTAAATCTAACGTAATAAAATAGAAAACATTTCTGGTTACCTTCACTCTACAGTATAATTTGATATGGTCCAATAAACGGTAGGCATATTTTGCCTTCTAAGTAAGGTTCGTGGGAATATTGATTATTACTGATTATTTTTGCATAGTGAATATAGACGTTCTATCGAAGCGAAAAATGGCTTTTGCGGTTGTTAGTGGAACGTTGTGTTCCCAAAAAATACTTTAAAGTGTATAAATAGGTTACCCGGGCAATTGATTTACATCAGCCAATCAAACCAATGTCCTCCTATGAGGATGTATTTGTTTAATGCTGTAATGATAGAGTATATATATAATTGATATATATAATAAATTATATACTATCCAAATCCAAACATAAGACGTGTAAGACTTTTAATAAGATTAGTAATCTTATACTGTATAAAAAATATTCTTGTTCTTAAATACATTTTTGTTATATAAATCTATGTAATGTAATTATTCATAGCACTAAAAAATTATCAATACAATATACTGTATATATATGTAATATATAATCTAAAAGTTAAATCAAATTTATTAAACACTTAATATTTTACTAATAAAGATGTAGCATATTCATATTTATTAAGTTATTTATATGTATAAAATAATTGATCAGTACCAGAGACAAGAAAAAAACGGAATAGTAAAGAAAATAAATAAAAAAAATGCTAATCCGAGCCATTTACAGTCCTCCAATTACCCGACAAATCCGGATCTTGACCCGTGCCGATCTGGTACATTTTTCTTATAGGACTATTAATCAACATTAAAACTAACTTTAGAATTTCTCAAAACAAGGGAATAAAAACCAAGCAATTTAGTGACCTGAAGACCAGCCCTGAGTCCCACTTCGAATTATTTCTACAATTTTTCTAGAAAATTAAAATTAGGAAGAACGGCCAATTTTAGCACACATTCTTCGACCGGCCAATATAGCACACAGTCATCTAAAGAGACAGTTAATCTAGTTTTATGAAATGAAATACATAAACTGCAAATAAAATCCTACTTCTCTAAATTATTGCAACGAATCATAACCACGAAGGCTCCAACGACGAAACCGAAGCCGACTCTCGTTTCGCGTCTCTGATTTAAATGAAGTACCTAAAAGAAAAGAAATTAACATTGACTACAAGAAACAAAAACAACCTAATAAAGAAAATGCCGAGTACTTATCTAAGATAATCTCTTAGATCCATTTCGAACTGTTTCTAGAAAATTCAAATTAGAGAAGAACGGCCAATTTTAGCACACATTCTTCGACCGGCCAATATAGCACACAGTCATCTAAAGAGGCAG